AATAATAATAATAATAATAATAATAATAATAATAATGATAATAATAATTCTCAAGTGCTGTCTACTCGAGGACACAACAATGTTTCTAACGAAATAAAAACGTTTAAAATGTTGACGTCATCTTTCTTTAGTTGTGTCTGTCTGCCTGCCATGCCGTTGTCTGCCTGCCATGCCGTTGTCTGCCTGCCATGCCGTTGTCTGCCTGCCGTGCCGTTGTCTGCCTGCCGTGCCGTTGTCCAACGGTTTAGTCTAAATAATACGCACAGAAATGTAGCTACATGTATTAATTGAGAGACGTGCTGATAAAATGAGTTACTTCTCGCAATCCACATGGAGCTACATGTATTAATTGAGAGACGTGCTGACAAAATGAGTTACTTCTCGCAATCCACATGGAGCTACATGTATTAATTGAGAGACGTGCTGACAAAATGAGTTACTTCTCACAATGCACATAGAGATATTGGCCAAAAATCGACACTAGGATCAAATTATAGATTTTCTGTTGATGTCATATTTTTAAAGTATAACATGCGTTTTATTATTTCATACTTATATGTTGTAAAAACTTCACTTATAAGCATGATGTGTCTATTTACAAAGGGCTCGAATCCGAGAAGTAACTCTTATTTTTTTCAGCACGCTTCACAATTTATAACGTTTAAAAGTGCGTTAATCTACAAAAGCTACAGGTTCAGAAAATCACTTTTTTAGACAAGTGACGTGGGTCTATAGTCTTCGTGTTGTGAGACGAGAAAATGGCATGGCTCTGCCCTCTTATGACAAAAAAAGTATGTGCATAATACTATTATTTAGGTCACGTAGCGTTTTTATTCAAGAGAGAAAACCTTGTTTTCACGGCGCATCTTTCTGTCTTGGTTTTATAACTGTACAATTACAATTGAGGAAGTTTTGGTCATCTGAAAATATGCGTAGTGACCTAATCACATATTATTGATATTGCTATGACAAAAGAAATTTAAATCTATTACCCCATAACTATTTACTGTATACCTCAGCAAATCAGACAAAGGTTACACGGGCCATTGAATTTTGAAATAAAATTAATAATCAGATCGTCCAAATTTTAGTTAAGTTGAAACACACTAAAAAAGTTAGCTCTTTGTCTCTCTTGTAAAATATCATCTTTGGTATATACGTTTTTCTGTCATAAGATGACAGGTGTGCACCACTTAGCCCTACGTTTCTGGGTAGGCCTGCCTTCTGGGTTTCCTAAGCTGAAAATCGGAAAAACTGCAACTACTACTACTGCTGCTGTAGCTGCTACTACTACTACTACTACTACTACTACTACTACTACTACTACTACTACTACTACAATAACAACAGCGGTAACAGCAGCGGTAACAACAACAACAACAACAACAACAGCAACAACAACAACAACAACAACAACAACGACGACGACGACGACAACGACAGTAACAACAACAATATCAAAAACAACAATAACTATTGACGCTCAACATAATAAAAGTATTAATCCTTTTTAAAAAAGCTACGTTTCCCTGATCTTTCCCTGTTACTCATAATTTGTTTAAATTACCTACGTAGGTTGCTCAGGGCCTACCCCTGCCTAGTTTGCCTTCAATTTTGTTAGTGAGAGCCAGATGTTCAAGACCCTTATGTTTATTCAGGTGTCCCCAAAACTGCATTTGTCGTTTCCTGATTGTTTTTAACAGTGAGCGTCCCACGTGGGCTTCTTCAAGAACTACCTCGTTAGATTTCTTTTCCTTCCACGATACTCTTACCAGTTTCCTTAGAAACCACATATTGTCGCTTTTAAGCACAAGGGGGCTATCCCGAAAAATGCTGTTTTGAAAAAATCGTTGGTAAATTTTTTACCCCTTTGTCAGTTTCTTTTAAAGACAAGGAGAGTTTTCTCTACAACCAAACAAATATAGACACCAATGAAACCAAACTTTTCCTATAGGTAGGACAATGTCCACTTCAGGGTTAGGTCAAGATTTCTGGAAACCCCCGAAATCTGGGTTAGCCCGCTTGTCCATAAAAGCGACCATATATACGTTGCAGAATGAATTCGCCACGGAGGAAATCGAACTGATGTCCTCTGTGTGAGACGGGTATAACCTAGAAAAATTATATCGCAGACTCTGTCATCCTCTGCGGAGTAACAGTTAGATTCTTTGCTGTTGCTCGCATGGGACCTGAGTTCGAGTCCCGTGCAGGTAGAATTTATGATCTTGAGAATCTCGGTCTTCTTCGTTCTCTCTCTCTCTCTCTCTCTCTCTCTCTCTCTCTCTCTCTCTCTCTCTCTCTCTCTCTCTCTCTCTCTCTCTCATTCACTCACTCTTTCAGTAAATGGCTTGCAGTAAAAATAAATATATGACATACATCATACATGTATGTAATTAACCAGAGGTGTCGTCATGGGGTCTTGTTATGAAAAATACATCTTGCTGTTCGCTACCTCAGAATTACAAAGTTCTATCTGCTCGGCAAGCCTAGTCTATCTAGTTTTGAGAAATTTGAAGTAAAAGATTTTGAGTTTCGACATCATGTCAAGCTTTTTCGAATTCAGTTCTTTGAATAATATCTTGATAACGACTCCGAATATTCTTACGA